CTTGTTCTGAGTTTTATTGTAAAGATTGCTGTTTTTTTTAGTATGCAACATGAAAGAATAAGATTCCTTTAAAGAAAAAATAGTGAGTGCAAGTTTAAATTTGCAAACAGATAGGAACATGATTATTTATCTGCCAGTTTCCCTAGTGCAGGAAGTGTGAAGGCATTCTCAAAAATCAAACCTGTACCTAATTATTCATTCAGGAAGTTCTTTACATGAAGCACTATATACTTGCATTTGAAAATGTTTGCAAAGCAAGTGGTTTATACACAGTATGTTGTTGTAGTTAAGTGCCATTAAGTTGGTTCTGACTCATAGTGAGCCTGTGTAGGGTTTCCAAGGAGCAGCTGGTGAGCTTAAACCACCGACCTTTGGGTTCAAACGACTTTGCAGTCATGCACATTACCCACAGTGCCACACCAGGACTCCGTACACAGCATAGGCACAGCAATTTGTTTACCCTACTGTTTCCAAACCCTTATGGCATTACCCAGCTGAGCAGAAATATTTAGCCCCGTATTTAGCCCCATACTCTTGGGTGCAAGCTAGGCAAATTGCCTTGACACCAAAGGAGTTGATTGCATTCGGTGTGTGATTGGATCTAAAGAAAAGTCTTGCTTTTTTTAATGAAATGCATAAACTGCCACATCTTTAATTTCTTTAGAGTGTTTTTGAGAGTTACTAGGAGTTTCTCCCAGAAGAGGATTTTTTAAAATAGAACTTTGGGTATTCAGGTGTTCCAGAAATTTCTGAGGATTGTTAGGGCCAAAAAATGATCCTGCAGATCATTTCTTCCCCCCATCCCACTGTTCCCCAACTGCTTTAAAAAAAAAAAAAAAAGTCTGGAATCCATGCAAAGACCATTCCTGCTTTGAAGGCAGCAGTTTGGAGGCTCGTGTTAGAAGCTGACTAGTAGATGATATTGCCACATGGGGATTAGACAGACGGGGCGGTCAGGTGCAGTTTAAGGATGATGATTCTAGCATGTGTGAGCTTAATCCAGGAACCATTCCCAGGTATCTCTCATTATCTCCTTTACCGCTCCCTTCCCTGCACTGTGAACCCTGGTGAGGAAGGCAATAATACACTTCCTTTCCATGCACGGCACTGCTGAATGTAACTTTCTTTCTTTCCCTTGGCAGTTCTGCCAAATCCCTCCCAAGAACCAGTATGGAGTTCTGGTGTGGCACTATAGGATAAGCACTGGATCGCATGGTTGTTTTGAACCTAAAGGTCAGCAGTTCAAATCTACCAGCCGTTCCTCAGAAACCATATGCAGGGTTGCTATGAATCTGAGGTGACTCGACTGCACTAACAACAACAAGAACCAATACAGAGGGATTAGATCCTCATGGTGTTCGTGTGGATGCGCATTCAAAAGAGTATTTTGAATAAATAAAAGCAGACTTGGAGTTACTGTTATAAATTTGCGTATCAACTGTGAATTGATAGCACTGAGGGCTTCTGTTTAAGCCGCTATACTTTCTACAAGACACCAGAAAGCAGGAGCATTTGGAAGTAGTCAGGGCTGCCTGAGATACCACTGGGACATTTGATTTTAGTAATCTTCATAGGATATGCCAGCCGTTCAGTTCCCGAGTTGAATTAGGAAACAAAACATCTTTATGCCTCTAGTGAATATTCATTTTGGTTTCCTGGATGACTTGACAAGAAGCTCAGAAAATTAAAGTGTGGACTGGCCTGAGCTGCTCAGGTACACTTAATCATAGTTAACTGATTATCAATTAATTCCAGAGTCTTTAGAGTCAAGGGAAAAGTATGGATTCTGTTGTTGTTGTTGTTGTTGTCAGGTGCCATCGAGTCGGGACCGACTCATAGCGACCCTATGCACAGCAGAATGAAACAATGTTCGATCCTGAGCCAACCTCACCACCGCTGCCACACCTGAGTCCATCAATGATGCCACCTGGCTGATCCATCTCGTTGGGGGTCTTCCTCTTTTTCTCCAACCTTCCACCCCACCCAGCATGACATCCTTCTCCAGCGATTGTTTCCTCCGGACAATATGTCCAAAGTAGGAGATACGAAGTTTAGCCATCCTGGCCTCTAAGGAGCACTCTGGCTGCACTTCTTCCAAAACAGATCTATTGGTTCTTTTGGCAGTCCATGGCACTTTCAGTATTCTCCTCCAACACCACAACTCAAAGGCATCAATTCTTCTACGATCCTCCTTATTCACTGTCCAGCTTTCGCATCCATATGAGGCTATTGAAAATACAATGGCCTGGGTCAGGCGCACCTTAGTCCTCAAGCTGACATCTCTGCTCTTCAACACTTTAAAAAGTTCCTGTGCAGCAGATTTGCCCAGTGCAATACGTCGTCTGATATATTTAAAATACAGAATATCAAAGGGAAGGATAGTTGTAAATCATTTGGCCGGATGCTTCCCATATTACAAGTTTCCAGATGGTAGAGACCCTGTCTCATTTCCCTAGATACCCAGTCTAACACCCAGCAGGTTCTCAACAAGCATTAACCAAAACCCAAACCCACTGCCTATTGAGTCCGTTCTGACTCATAAGGACCCTAGAGGACAGAGTAGAACTGCCCCACTGAGTTCCTGAGGCTGTAGTCTTTATGGAAGCAGACTGTGACATCTTTCTCCCATGGAATAGCTAATGTGTTCGAACTGCCGACCTTTCAGTTAGCAACTGAGTGCTGAACCACTGTACCACCTAGCCATCCATTTGAAGGATGAGTCATGTCTTTATTTTCTGAAATTCATATCTTTTTGTTAAAATTTTATAATTTATTAATCCTCTGGTGAAAAATCCACACAATCATCGCAGATCAAGTCACTGCAGAATCTTTAGTCCCTCTTTCCCCAGGACCATCGTTGACCTTTGCCGTCCCCCTGACTTTGTTCCTTCTCTTCTTGGCATTCCCTGTGCTGTTTCCTTGTGGTCTTTTTCTTCTCATACAGGCCATGTCTTATAAGTCTGTAACTGGGCCATTTCTCCTTACTTAATCCAAGGAATCATGAATCATGTCAAAGCCAGTATTAATGCCATTACGAAAATGGGCTCTTTATCAAACAGTAAGATGACGTCTGATGTGGTCTTGTACATTTGGGTTAGTTTTCCTCACATTTCTTCTGTCTTAGATACTATTGCCTTTCCAGGGTGAAGGACATCAGTGACTACTTGGGACCACTGGAGTAGTCAGTTGGTCATGAACATGATGGTGGCAGATTCTCAGGCAGCAGAGGCAAATAACTTTTTTTTTTTTCCCCCTTTGGAAAATACAATAAAAACCAAGACAGGGAATCAAAGGGAAAGTTTTTATTCCAAAGTGTTCTGCTATTTATTTATTGCTTCATGATTTAAAAAACTCAGGTTAATTTTACAGGATTTGTGTTTGAAATTAGATTGGCATCAAGGCCAAAAAGTTTATTTTATAACACTAAAGAGCCTGTGGGGTTTTTTGTTTGTTTTGTTATGTTTTTTAATGTGTTGTTTCTTATTACCAAAATGATGCTGTCGTCAAAATTTGGGGAATAGAGAAGGGAAAAATGAATGAACTTTGAATGTCATAGTAGCTATAGAAAGTGTGGAGTCCTGGTGTGGAGCTATGGTTTAGTGCGCCAGACTGTAAAGCCGTTTGAACCACAAGGTTGGCAGTTCAAGCTCACTACCTGCTCCTTGGAATCCCTATACAGGGTCACTATGGGTCGGAATCGACTCGATGGCAATTAACAACAGCATAAAAAATGTACCAATTATTCATCTATCTCTAGGATAGTCACCAGATGTCAGCTCATCACTGTAAGATCTTGGGACAAATTTGTATGCAAGAACAAAAATTACAACTGGGTAAACGTTTTCACCTAGTTGTTTTGGGCCAAAGACATCATTCCACCAGTATATGAAAAATCAGCACTTTAACAACCCTAGCAAGGATTCAAGACCACTTCAGTTTATTACAAGATCTGGTTGTTTCTTGCAAAGTCAAAACCTCTTTCATAACTTTGTTATTCACAGAGATTGGCGTGTTTTCTGTTTCTTATTAAAATACTGTTCATTTTCTGAAACCCTTTGGCTTTTCTTTTTGTTGGAAAATGTGGTGTAACTCTGGGTTTTTATGTAACTGTGACCAAGAAGAGGCCTTATTATCATTATCCTCTGTGAAATTCTTTCATCAAGATTATCCTAAGAAAGGTAGAACTGTTTGGTCTTTTTGCTGTTAAAGGAAAAGGGGCTGTGCTGAAATTTTCTTTATTTTGTCTTTGATTGGTACTATTGAGTGTTTGCTAAACTGATTTTTTTTGGTCCTTTGTTTTCTAGTATTTTAATTATATTGCCTATGTGATCTAGTAGCAGCACATCAAGTGTCTATGTGGTATTCTTTTATGTTGTTTTGCTTTGTTTTATGTTAGCCACTGCTTTGAAATCCCTCAGCTCCCCATTTTCTCGTTCATAAGTGCTGTAGACATAGGCATGAGGCCACATACACTAACTGTCTTTTTTTTTTTCTTTTCTTCTCCTACTGTCTTTTTTTTTCCATCCCTGTTTTTCAGTCCTTTGTAGGACTTGAAGGGACCTAGCGGAGCAGTAGTTAAGTGATTTTTTGCTAACTGAAAGATCCATGATTCTAATGCACCAGCACCTCTGTGGGAGAGCAATAAGTCAGCCTGCTTCCATACACACCCCCAGGAACCCTGTGAAACAGTTCTTATCTGTCCTGTTGGGTCACTGTGAGTCAGAATTGACTTGAGGGCAATGAGTTAGGGTTAGGTTAGGTTTGGGTCTGCAACTGTATTTGTGTGTGTGTGTGTGTGTGTGTATATAATTATCTGGATGGATAAATGGAGAGAAAGCTTATTAAAAGCATTTCTTTTTCCCCTTTTTTTAGCAACTTAAATGACAAAATCTCAGAATTTCCATCCAGGTTTGTACTGTTGGTCTTTTAGGCTGACTCCTAAGAACATTGGTATGGATCGTTGACTTAGCTTCCCCATGCTTTCCTCTCTGTTTCCATAGATAAACATCATTCAGGGAATTGTGGCAGAAATCAACACCAAGACTGGGGAATCTGAATGCCGCTATTATAAAGAGCGGCTCCTTTACTTGGAGGAAGACCAGAAAGACTCCCTGATCGACAACTCTCGAGTGCTGTGTTGTCACGGAGAACTGAAGAACAATCGGGGCGTGGTGAGTGCCTACTCTTTTTCAGAGGCCCCATCCTGGGTTTCCCTCGATGCTCTGCCCTATCCATGGTTACATATTTTTCAGACAAAAATTATTTTTCCAGTGTCTTTCACACCGTAAGAACTTTTTTTTTTTCCCCTTACGAACCAGTACGCATTCAAAATGAATTTTAGAAACTAGCCTACGGTTGCTGACTTTTTATTTTATTTACTCATAACCTTCAAAAACAAATACATAACAGTGAGCATCTCCCACTTTAATTTCAGAAAATAAACACTGGTTTTAACAGGATGTTAAAGAAAAACAGATAATTCTTCAATTGAAAGCTTATAGCTTTTTGAAAATCTCCTGTCTTTATCATGGATTAGCCCTCTCCGCAGACTGGCGGATTACAAGAACAGGTTTTTGGTTTTATTTTAATTATATTCTACCTTCCATTGGCTGCCTTTCTGGCTGTAACCTGTTGACTTCCGATTCCCTGGCTTTTATTTCTGAGATATTAAAGCTCTTCCTCTTATGCTATTATACAAACTTATGTATACCTCTCCTGATACGTTTGGTACAGTGTGTTGAAGTTTTCCACCTGTCAGTAGCTTCCATGTTCTTGTCAATTCCCAGCTCCTACTATGGGAACCTGACACATATTGCTAGTTTCCTTCCAGTCACTTTCAACCCCATGGGTGTCAGAGTTTTGAATGGCTGGATTTTTGGAAGTAGAACACCAGGTCTTTCTTCCAAGGCACCTCTCGGTAGTCTCACACCTCCAGCCTTTTGGTTAGCTGCTACATGTGTTAGCCATGTGCACCACCCAGGAACTAGCATGTCTTCAGCACTCTGAAATGTTAGTTGAACGAGTGAATGCTTAAGTAAAGGAAGGGTGGATTTGAATCAAAGAGAGTTCAAAATTCATTCTGTTTATTATGTCATCTTTATGTACAGCCAGTAGAAAATGGTACTTCATTAATGGCTTTGTTTAATTAAATTAATTAAATAGAAATTAATATTTAATTCATTAAAATATGTATTTTTACGTTTCTATGTTGAGAAACAAAGAGTCTGTACTTTAATTGTATTTTGTCTTCAATAGCTAGCCAACCTGTAAAATGAAAGCCAAAACTAAACTGACGGCTTTTTAATAGAGCTTTGAAGATTCAAGGAACCCCCTTTTGACCTATGGCTTTTATTGCCAGATTTGGAAATGTTCCTTGAAATCACTGTGTATGTGTCATGTCATAGCACCCATTCTCGGGGTGGCTATGGATCCAACCAGCTGATGGTGCAACGAATAACGAGAACTTTCCTGCCAATGAAAGACACGTGTCTGTTTGACTAGAGAGTTACTGGTGGCTGGAGAGGTATATCTCCCTCATGCTGGCTGTCAGAAAGTACTGATGGATTTCAGCATCTAGACTTTGGATGCTTGAATATTCTTTCTAGGAAGCCTTGGAGAAAATAATGCAGAAGATGCATCCCTCTGGAGAATGTGGGCCTGTTCTCTTGATATACCAGTCAAGAACTGAAGACTGATTAGACATGTGAAGAGCATTAAAAAGGAACTCCAGTTCCTATTGCAGGCAGATCAGATATCTGAGAACAAAGATAGTAGTTGATGTGAGAGGTTTGTTTTAGTTAATGTTGTTTTTTGTTGTTGTTGTGAACAAAGTCATGTGCCAGAAAAAAGAAGGAAAAAAAAAAAAAGTTTAGTAGTTTGAAGGCAAAAAGGAACTGAACCTAATAATAGGAATTCTCAGGGTACATTTATAAATGGGATCGTTTTTAAAGATTGACCAGACCATATGAGTTTAAACTGCCTTCCTTGGCAGAATCCTGGTCTGTTGATGTGGGATTAAGCATTGTACCACAAAGTTGGTTTGAACCACAGTGTTAGGGATTCAAGCTCACCAGCCACTCCTTGAAAACCCTATACAAGGTCGCTATGAGTTAGAGCTGACTCGACAGCACTTACCAACAACCATCTTGACTAGAGGATTAACTGAAACATCCTCTATAAAAGTCCTTGATTAGTTTACATATTTTTCTTTAAATTGTACTTTTTTGTTGTTTCCTTGGTTATTTTTAATAAATTGATGTGCTCCTTCCTTCCCTCCTGAAAGACTTTAACTTGGTTGTTTTGTGCATTGTTCTTTACTCTGTGTTTGTCAGTCTATTTAAATGCACATCTAACCGTTTTGATATACATAAACTCTCACTTGTCACATAAGAAATCGTCTTCCTTTGTCTATTTCCACCAGCCAACATTTGGTTGAGCTTTATTTTCCACAGTTTTCATTGTGTGTGGTATAGTAGTGTACAAGGACCCACAGATTTTCCCCCTTAAAATATAAAACATGTGATAGTGCTGTTCCAAATCAAAATTCAAACATAAATTTCCACCCACCTCTAAGCTGATATTCCCAAAGTGAGGTGACTGCCAGTTTTCCACCAGGAAACCCGTCCCTAGTTGCAACATTATGGATCTTTTCACTACAGTTCTGAAGCATTTCCCAACTGTCAGAGGTATTGGATGGAGCCAAGTTACCTCTCCTGCACCCAGCAAACTTGCTTTCATGATGTGATTTGAGATAAGCCTTCATTTTGAGATTTCCTTTTTGCTCACACATCAGTCATTAGTCTTTGAATTATAACCTCTTCAAAGACCCCAGGATCTGTTAAACTCAACCAAGAAGGAAAACTTTGATCATCTTCCATTGTTGTAATGACATACTCGGGTTCCCTCAAGAATGGGCAATGTTCACAGTTGGAGCGTTCGGGCAACGCTGATCATCTGCTTTGTGGCTGAATAATTGAGTGATTAGGGTTTGGGAAGTAAAAATTAATACTAGACTTTGGTATACCAGTCCCTTCCTTTAGAGACTATTGTTCATTTTGATCTACTTGAATTGGTAAAATAGGCAAAATAACCAAGCAGGCATCCCTGGGTGATACAAACAGTTCATGAGCTCAGCTATTAATTAAAATGTTGAATAATCTAGTCTCCTACTTCACCCAAAAGTGCCTCCGAAGGAAGGCCTGGTAATCTACTTCCAAAAAGTCAACCATTAAAAACCCAATGGATAAATTTCTATTCTCACATCCCATGGAATTGCCCTGAATGATTAATGTAACCATCAAAACCAGCCGGTGCTAACTTTTTCCTTCATTACCCCCTTCATTTTGTTCTCCTTTCTCATTCTTAAGGGAACTAGGAACAGTATGTCTGTATAGCTTGTGAACTGCAATGTGACTAGAACCCCAAGAGTTGGCAGGTCTGGCTTCATGTGCCTGCTACAGAAAGGTTATCTCCAGTGATCTGTGGGATATCGCTCCTATAGGAAAAGCATTGAATACATCTGGAAATGCTACTGACAGTCCTGAGTTCTGTCCTCCTGGAGGTAGATTTGAGCCCAGGAGTGGAGCTCATTGTTTGTTGTTAAGTGCCATCAAGTCTGTTCCAACTCATAGCAATCCTGTATAGTGTTTCCCAGGCTATAAATCTTTGCAGGAGTAGAAATCATCAATCATCTTTCTCCCAAGGAGCATCTGGTGGACTCACCACCACAGTCCAATCGGTGCTTATATCTACAGAGCCAACTTTAAACTTGTTAACTGAAAACCATAAAATCCACAAATAATGACTTTTTAGATGATTGCTTACAGAAATCCTATGGATTCTTTTCTTCTAGAAACTGCATGTTTTCTTGTTTCAAGAAGTGCTTGTGATCACTAGAGCTGTTACCCACAATGAGCAGCTCTGCTACCAGTTGTACCGACAACCAATCCCTGTGAAGGACCTCCTGCTGGAAGACTTGCAGGATGGAGAAGTGAGGTTGGGCGGCTCACTGCGCGGGGCCTTCAGCAACAATGAGAGAAGTATGCCTGACTTCCCGTCCTCCCATTGTGGACCTTTTAAAATGATTTTTGGTTGTGATGGTTAGTCATCCATTCAGAGGGAATGACTGGGTATTGAAGAAAGGGGAGTCAGTGCCTTGGAGACACATGCGTTCCGTTATTGTTTCATGACTTACTGGTTCTGTAACTGTTTGTACTGCCCGGATAACAGTTTCAAAACAGTGGGTTTTATAGCTTTGCTGTGGACTTGTCTTACAGAGACAGTGGTGCACTGGGCTGAGGATTTGCTGGTGGCCTTGTCTTACAGAGACAGTGGTGCACTGGGCTGAGGATTCATCTGAGTGAGCTTCTCATACTTGAGATTTTATGAAGAGAAGCTTAGATAGCAACATCCATTAGCATCTTCTATGTAAGCATGTCTAGTAGACAATGCCTAGAACAAAACTAATTTACTGGTGCTGCGTGCGGGTTAATGCACTAGACTGCAAAGTCGGTTTGATCCACAAGGTTGGCTGTCCAAGCTCACCCTCTGCTCCTTGGAAACCCTGTACAGGGTTGCTCTGGGTCGGAACTGACTCGATGGCACTTAATAATAACATGGAACTATCATTGTAAAAGAAGAGATAGATGATTAACAAGTAAATATTCTAGGCACGCTTAAGAAAAATAAAACCTGGTAGGGGACCAGAGAGAGAGTGGGTGGTAGGAGATATGTTTTTGATGAGCTGGTCAGGAAAATCTTTTTTGAGAAAGTCATATTTGAGCCTCCTGTATTAATATATACACCATATTTTAAAAGTGATTAATAATATTACTGTCTTTTACTTCTTCACCAATCCTTCACCTTACTGGTAATAATAGTGATAATGTTGTTGTTGTATGTAGACTCAGAGTGACCCTGTATACAGTTTCCAAGGAGCAGCTGGTGGGTTTTCAACTGCCAGCTTTGTAATTAGCAGTCCAATGTATGTATCCTACGCTAGGACTCAAATGATAATTGTTGTTGTTAAGTGCCGTCAAGTCAGTACCGACTCATAGCAACCCTCTATGGGTTTCTGAAGAGTGGCTGGTGAGCTTGAACTGCCAACCTTGTGGTTGAAAGCGACCATGCAGTACAGCACATTAACCCACAGTGCCACACTAGGACTCAAAATGATTATAGTAGTTCATATTTGTTGAACACTGTGTGCCAGACATTGTGTAAATATGCATAGTGGTTACAAATCAGGCTGCGTACTGCAGGGTGAGCAGTTCGAAACTCCCACCTGGTCCACGGGAGAAAGATGAGGCTTTCTGCTGCCGTAAAGATTTATAGCCTTGGAAACCCCATACATAGTTGCTATGAGTCAGAACCGACTCCACGGCACATAACCACCACCACCATCATTATCACATTTGTTCCCTGTTAGAACTTAGTAAGTTGAGTAAAAAGGTTTTCCACTTTTACAAATAAGGAAACTAAGGCACAGAGAGGTTAAAATGTATGCCTGAGATTAAAGGGGTGGGAACTGAATTTAAGGGATTAGTGTTATCTTCTAGCCAAAGATGGCTGGCATTTGGGCCTACCCTGCCTTTGTTGTTTCGGTTTCTTTGAAGTAGTGGGCCCATTCTGTTGGCTACAGGGTTAGAGCAAGCGAACTTACTCAAAGCGTTCTTGTGATCCAAGTATTATACTTGGCCTGCAAGCCCACTAAATGTCAGCGAGTGGTGGTGTTATTAGATTAAATGAAGGTTTCTAGCTTTAGCACCTGTTAAAATTACAGGTTCTCAGGCCCATTGTACATCTGTTGAATCAGATTTCTCAGGGTGGGTGCGGCCCAGGATCTGTGGTTTTTCACCAGCTCCCCAGGGTTGTTTTAAAAATATGCAGCCATTTTTGGATAATCAGTACTCTGAGATTTCCCATAATACAAGAGTTAGTTACAGCAAGCTAATACCCACTTTGTAGCTTCTGAGAGCAATTGAGGGCAACTGACAACTAGTGCTCTATCAACTGCAATTGCTCAATGGTGGCTGCAGGGTGGAGCTGAGCCGTGTACTGGATCACTAGAGAAACATCTTGTCATCAGTTAATGATATCTGCCCAAGGGGTTGCTATGAGGCCAAAGCAACTTGGCAACAACTAGTAGCCATGAGCACTGGGGGGGATTGGTGTTACTACATGTTTTATCTTTGGTCTGAAGAAATAACTGTTTATTGACCTTGTCCCCCGTGTATTTTTCATTTCTAGTTAAAAACTTTTTCCGAGTAAGTTTCAAAAATGGATCCCAAAGTCAAACCCACTCGCTACAAGCCAATGACACCTTCAACAAACAGCAATGGCTTAACTGTATCCGTCAAGCCAAAGAAACAGTTCTGTGCGCTGCCGGGCAGGCTGGAGTGCTAGATTCTGAGGAACCATTCCTAAATCCCACCACCGGGGACAGGGAACCACAGGGAGATACAAAACTTGAGCAGATGGACCAATCGGACAGTGAGTCAGACTGCAGTATGGACACAAGTGAGGTCAGCCTCGACTGTGAACGCATGGAGCAGACAGACTCTTCCTGTGGCACCAGCAGGCCCATTGAAAGCAACGTCTGACAGAAGCTCGTGGACTTCCTGGAAGTCGCTGTGTGTCTTACCTGTACAGTATTTGCATTCCACTCATGGAACAGTTTGGAGAAGCACTTTTTAATATTTTTTGTGATCGTGTTGACCCAGTCATATACCTATAACTTTGTCCCTAGTACTGTAACTGCCAGTCTGTCTGTGTAAGCTGGAATCTGTGGCACCTGTTACCCTGTGTTGTATTTCACAAGGGTCTCGATGGATGGAGAGGTACTTAAACAACTTACTTACAATTGTCCTGCTGGATTCTGACAAACAGAAAAAAGATTCTCTAAGCTACTGTTTTATGTAGATTGCCCTAAGAGTCCTCCCATGCACCTCTAGGGCTCGCCTAGCTCTTTGACGTGGTAGCTGATGGCAGGGAAGTTAGAGGGCCTTGCAAACAGGGTATGAGGAAGTTACTCTTGTCTCATGATGACCTTTGAGGGGAACCAGGAAAGGTCAATGCCTTGGAGTAAGCTTGGTTCAATGGCATTCAACCAGAAAGTAACACTGAACAGCATCCCTGGGGATTCTAGAGACTTCATTTTGCAAGGGAAGAAGCTCTATGTTGACCTTGCAATTGATCACAGCCAACGGGAGCTTGATACAGTAATCTATCAGGACATGGAATAGAGTCTGACCTTAAAAGGACGAGTACAAAAGCACCTGCGAGCTCTGACTCTTTAATAGGATTGATTGTCCATTGCACCCGGAGGTCTCTGTAATAGTAACCAGCTTACCCGGAGAGCCATTTCTACCCTAAAATATCAGTACAGAAACTCAGCAGGCTTGGAAAAAACCTCCCAGGCGTACCAGAAGGCCCTGTCTTCATTATGTTGTTTCACCTCTCTTTCATTTATGTTGTTTCGCCTCTCTTGGCATACTCACACTCAATAGAGTGAATAGCAGGTGAGAAAAAAGAGACGATGCTGTGTCAAAGACTCTGTTTACAGAAACTTGTGAGCAGAAGAACTTGGAATGGAAAGTGCTTCATCATGACTTATGTGGGAAGCATTCAAAGAGAAACGCACAGTGCTCTTCTGAGAAAGGCCAGAGCCTTGAATTTACCTGCTGTGATGCCATCTTTGTCTATTGTGATCAGAATCATAATTATGTTCTCCAGAGGCCAACTTAATTAGCTGTATAATTAATTTGGCATAGCACTTGACTGCTAACCTATAGGTCAGCATCCAAACCCACCAGCCACTCAGCAGAAGAAAGGTGTGGCCGTCTGCTCTGTAAAGATTTACAGCCTTGGGAGCCTTCTGGGGCAGTTCTGCTCTCTACTGTAGGATCACTGAGTCAAAATCAACTCAACGGTAGTGGGGTTTGGGATTTATGATTAATTAGGATCAGTTAGCCAGACGAGAAATCTCTTTGTCCAGCCTTGACTTTTACAGTACACAGTGGGTTGCAGATCTGGAAAAACAAAAACAAAAACAAAAAAACACACAACTCACTAAATGCATGGGAAAAACTCCCTGTGAATGTAAATATTAATAATGACCTGTGCAAAATTAGACCCATACCAGCACCTAGTAGTAATGATTCTAAATTATTGCCAAAAAAGTTTTTCTTTTAAATTTTCTGTGTCTTTCAAGTTTACAGGAAAAAAAAAGTTAATACAATGTTGTCACCTTATTATGTACACATGTCCTGTGCACTCAAAGAAGCTGTATGACAAGATGATCAATATACAAACAAGGTAGATTGCTTTATTAATTTTCAAGAAAAATATTGTGGTCAATGTGGCCCTGTAAAACCTATTTCTGTATTTATAGATTTTAAATATGGTGAATTTTTTTCTATTACAAGTTTATTTAAAACTGCTTTGTTTTCTCAAGTTGTTAATCGTTTAGCAAGTGAGTATGAACCTGCTGCAGTTAAAAGCAGGAAAATGCTGAGCAAAGAATGAACCATTATTTTGAAGAAGCCGTTGGCCACTTTGGGCAGTGTATTGAGACAAGAGGTCTTTCAGGTATTGCCTATGGGAAGAAAGTAAATGAATGTTCTGATGAAATGAATGTTTTATATAACAGCCTTAAACTTTTCTGGAAGCATTTCAAATAAATTACATTAAAATGCCGTCTTTTTTTGTGTGGATAGTGTTTTTGCCCTACGAACATCACTCATTCTGAATTGTTTGATTGTGGTCCCCAACTGTAAACTTCAAAATAGGATGTAGGTAGAAATAAATGCTTTGCTTTTGTCTATCAAAACTTTGGCAGAACTCATATTTCTAAGATTTATGTTTTCAAGCATTCGTCATTCACTTATTTGCTTATTCATTCTTAGCAACTATTTCTTGAATCCATATAATGTGTATAGTCCAGTAAAGCCCTTTTGTTCCCCCAAAATGAATATCTGTTTCTCCAGGTTCCTCTCTGCTTCCTCTTCCACCCACTTCCTTTTACTTCTCCTCATTCATTGTCAATGTTCCTTAGATCTGGATTTTGAATCATCATTTTATTCCATTACAGCCTTCTATGTAACGATTTACAGTCTCAGAAACCCTATATTGTGTTGTTATTAGTCGGAATCAATTTGATGATACTTGGTTTGGTTTAGTTATGCTGGTTCACCAAAATTTTGAAAATTTAACTTGTTCCAGTTTTACATCATTGACTATGACTAAATCAGCTGAAACTTGTTTTTTGCTCTCCTGTCTCAAATTTATATTCTGCAAGTGGATAACCTGAAGCAATTTTATCTGAAAAAATATGGGTACCAAAATTGTTCCTTTTATTGCAAATGGTAAGTGCTTTTTTTTTTTTTCTGAGTAAATGCAGGTCTAGGGTTTTGTGTGCTTGTTTGTTTGTTTTTAAAGTTTTTATTGTGAATTGAGTGATAGTTTACATGGGAGAAGATCGGTTTTATACCCTTTGTTTCATTGTGATGATTACAATCCCCTCCATGCGTTCAACAGTGTTTGCTTCTATTCCACTGTTTTTGTTGTTGCTGTTGTTGTTTTTGGGGGGGTGTACACAAAAACAGTCAGGAGTATATAATCATTTAAACAACCAAAGGGCACGTTCTGCAAGCCTGCCTCCTGGCATCCAGCATACAGCCTTTCTCTTTCCGTGAGTCTAGAGTCCTCAGCTGCTCTCCCTCTCCATGTCTTCATCTCTGTCTCCATCTCTCGTGTTGCTGCTTCTCTGGATAAGGTCCCACATTCTGCTCATGCTCATTACCTTTGATGGTCCTAGAGTCCTCTGTTCCTGGACTGTAAGATTAACTACTCCCCCCTTTATGTTATTACAAAACTTTTACCTTTACAGTTGTGACAATCACAGTTAGTCATGATAACAATTACTATTGAATCATAAGAATCTTATCCCATCTCCTTTTACCAGACCTGTCTGGACAAGACGAAAATTATTCAGTGGGGATTCTATCTTCCCCCACACACTCTGAGACTAAATTCCCTCTTGAAAACTTGTAAGGGGGTCAGTAGTACATTTTTATATTAACTCAAATTATGTTCATCCCAAGATTTTGTAACTAGTTTTTAAAGTAACAGTATTAAGTGATTTCGTTTTTATATATTAATAATTAAATCTAAAGTGAAAACAATGTTCAGTTTTAATCATTGATTCAGAACATTTCAACACAAAGAAAAACACAACCAGAATTCACATTCAATCAATTTAAAGACAGTATTGTGATTTTAAAAAAACTCTTAAATACTGCATAAATATTAAATTGGAGATTCAAAATACTTTTTAGTACAAAATTTTCAGTACTATAAAATTCACTGAAAACAAAATTTTGATGTAGGTGACATTTCTCTACTAACACTTGATGTTGTTAAGTACAGGCAAGTAAGTTCCAACTCTTATCGATCCTATATAGGGTTTCCAAAGAGTGATTGTTGGGTTTTAACCATTAACCTTGCAGTTAGCTTCTCCTTAAGCACCACACCAGGACTCCTTAATAATCATATGAAATTGATAAAAATTTATTCACGAAATACAAAGTGTGCTACTATACCTCATAACATCCGTACAGAAATGCAAAGCACTATAAGTAATAATTGGTACTCATTCCACTTCTGAGCTGAAGAATTGCCATAACATAAATATAAATAACAAATATTAAATGTAAAATATAAATGTGGACTTAATTTATATGAAATTATATCATTAAGAAAACATCATGACAAGTAACAGTAATTACACCCAATTAAAGGACTGTCCTCTAACATTTTTTTCATTTAAGCTATCCCTGTTGTTTCACAAGATAAATTTCAAACCTGAGAAAGCTCGCTCAACAATGACTTGAATAACTAGAGTGCTCAAAACTGCCGTAATAGTTTCTTATAACTGGAAGTATTATGAAAAGTTTTCTTTCCCAAAATTCAAGAATACTTTTTGTTCCTTTCAACTCTCTCTACCTATCAAAGCTTATTGACATAGAGACAATACAAAGGGGCTTCCAAAAGTTCATGAAAGAATGGCATATAAAAAAAAATGTTCATAAACATTTTGAAGCTCCCCCCATTGTTTGATCTTAATTAAACTTTTTCTTCATTTTGAGAAATAATTCCATCTCATCAACCTCAGCATTTGAAATGAGAGTATTTCCTGAATTGCTTTTCTTTGTTCCACTTTCATTATTGCCTTGTCAGATTTTCTGTCGTTTCCCCAAATACTTTTAAGTGTAATATGGCCTTCACCTTAGGTTCGGAACTAATGAGAATTCAACAGTAAGGATCTAGATAAATTACTAGTAATATACCATAATTTTCATGAATAGCTTTTTATCTTACATTTTCAGTTTCCAAATGTATTACTAAGAGTTCTTAATTTTAGCTTTGTTCCCACCTATGTACCAAAAACATCACGCAGTGGTTTTTAACTTGGCAATCTTACCACAACTTTTTTTAGAGGTTTAAAAATTTCTAAAATTAATTTGATAATAGGCCCATTTGTCATTCAAAAAGTAATATTTCATCATATTCTTACCTAATACATCATAGAAATTGCTTCAAAAGTTCATGGAAAAATTACATTATCTTTTAATTTCATTCTACAAAATTTTTGAAGCTCCCTTGTATTGGCTATATATTAACAAAGTTTGATAGAGTGTTGAGAGAAAAAAAAGGTTTTTGCTTTTTTTTTGTTTCCGGATTAATTCGTTTTTAAATCAGCATACTTCTCTAAAAACTGATAAACAGTGTTTTTTATGAACAGACTGGCTGTCTCATTCCCAGGGTCAGTAGATGTATTCTACC